AGGAGGAGATTGCTGAAGAAAGACTTGCCAAGGTATATTACCATTATGTCAGTTGCTGTTTCCCTGCATGTTTTCTTCATTTTCATGGCAGTGAAACACTGTTTTCTAGTGAATTCTAACAGATACAGCCTGATAATTATCTCAAGGTTTCTATCTTGGTCTAACACCAATCAACTGGGTGCCAGATTGCCCAGTCAGCAAAAACAGATTCAGATCACTAAATCTGACACACCTCCACAGAGTTGGGAGGTGAAGATTGGGTCACTTGCTAATGTCAAGGCTCTGCCAAAGGGACGTTAATGTCACAGTGGAAGTTGCAGTGGACCTCCCAGACAGAACCACCCCCTGTTAGAGTTCTGATGTGTATGAATGAGTTGAGATACTTCTGTGGGTCAATTGTGCTTTGCATATAGCAAAGAAATGAACTTATAGTGAATATTAGATGTGAGATACTGGGCAGGAGGACAATTTTGGTAGAATCTGGAATGAGATATGTAGCATCTATTAAGTGACAAATAATTTTAAATATATATATATGTGTATATTAAACATTAAGAATGTAACCAATGTTTTTTAACTTTTACAGAATAAAGCAAAGGAGGAGATGCTGAAAATCAAAGCAGAGTAAGTTTTAAATATTGTTCATTGAACTGGAGATTTGTATTAAACTCATTAATACTAAAAAGGTATATTTAAGCAACAGAAGTTCAAGATCTGCAACTATAAAAGATGTAATATGGAAATGTTGTTTACATTTCTAAAAGACACATTGAGTTCTTACTCTTTCTCATCAGTAGATGGTAGTAGTACCTATTACTACATGTTTCTAAACGGGTAGCATTATATCAGGACAATACTCTGAAATAGGTGGAGCCATAGAAGAACTTAAATTGGAAGGGACACTTTGAATTGTTTAAAATGACCTATGTTTTGAATTCTTTTATATGCAGTGAATTCTAAGCATATTCCTTTTCAAATTAAGTTGAAATATTGTTCATTTCTTTATTAATATCATATTTTGTAATTTTTACCTTAATCTGATTCTTTGCTTTTTTTATGCTATTTGTTTAAACTTTTGCACTTCAGCTTGAATAAATAAAATTGTTTATTATTAGGGGATTCCTACATTGTGTTTGCACTATTGTGCAAGTAGTCCTCAAAACTCAAGTGTTTTCCACCTTGGATGGATAGTAGTAAAGAAATAAAATACTGAATTAGTAGATAAAAATTACTTTGAAAAAATTGCTCCTGTTATTCTTTTCCTAATCTGTATTGCTTCAGGATTCATCGTAGCTAAATCTCCTAATATCGGAGTTATTTACATTTAATGGAACGCTTTCTATGTAGGTAACTTTTAAGGATGAAGATAGTTTTATGCACACAGTCATTTCAAAAGTAATTTATATTAAGTTTTCAAGAAACCCTAGTCTTGATTGGAGGTTATTTTGCTATTCAATGTGTTTGTTTTTCATACCTCTTTGGTCTTTGAGTTAGGCTTTAATAGTGCTACAATGTCTGATACAAACAAATAATGTGCAAAGAGGAAAAAGATTCTTTTGTCAATAAGAAAATGTCTTGACAAATGCAGCAAGGTAATACTGTTTTCATATATTAGGTCTTAAACACTAGGCTTCAATGAAACAAAATTGATGACAAAAATATTTTAAGCAGTATTTGAATAGACATGCAAAATTACTAAAGTTCCATATAATTGGTAGACAGGCTGCAAAGTTTGATGGCATGGTTTAATATTCTGTGAACCTGACAGAATTAAAACATTTTCATCAGACAAGACTTCTATCTAAAGTGGTGATTCTTCTGTTACCAGGCCAAGCATGCTCAGACCATCTCTGAGCTGTTCAGAGATGTTTCTGAGAAACAAGGCTATTAGGGAAAAGCCAGATACAAACAAGCAATTTAGGGGACACTTAAAGAGCAGCAGAGTTCATCTGGCAAATATACGTGCCTTAGATGAATTACTTCTAAGTGTTCTCGTAGGTGAAGCTTCTGTTCTCTTTCATGGGTGGAGTTACACGTCCTGGATTGGAAACAGCACAGTTGTCAAAAAGAAGAGCAACTCCAAAACGCTGTCTACTTAAGAGATATTATCAAACACAAGAGCTGTGAAGCAGAATTAAATTCTTCCTTCTCTTAGCACTGAGTTCTAGGGAAAATACATTGTCTCAGAAGGATACTTTTAAAGGAGCCTGCCTCCATGTCCAGCGCTGACTTAGTAACTCAATTGTATGCCATTTATGTTGTGTTTTAATATTTTTTGATTCTCTTATGTTGGCAGGTTAGAAGAGACCAAAAATATCCTCAAAATCAAAGAGAACACTTGTCTTGAAATGACACTGGAGATGGAACGAACAAGAGCTTTGGAGCTGAAAGCATTTAATGAAAAAGAAGAAATTAGATCAAAACTGGAAGAAATGTACGAAGAGAGAGACAGAATTGGAAAGGTTATATAACTTTTTTTGTCATCTTTACAGTAGAATCTTATTCAGCAGAGGTAGAACTGTTGCCAATTGGGCAATATTCTGAATTAATTAGCAATCAAAGACTGCCTCTGAAAATGTTTTGTCTTTGCAGTTTAGTTGTATTTGTAATGCTGTTTCCTGCACTGGTGGAACTCTGGGTACGGAGATCATTGTTGTAATTCATAATTCAAATCAAATGGTGCTTTTTTGCCCTTTGGAGGGATCTAATGTAGTACCTAAGGAGACATAAGACAAATATGTATTTCCTCAATGAACAAACTCTTGCATCATATGTTACAATAAACATGTTAGTATGTTAATAGTTCTAAAGAAGCTATTTCTTCTTCTGAGAAGGAGAGGCTTCAGTTAAGAGGTACACAATGTATTTATTAATTACAGGAAATGGGTTTGCTGAGGAAGCAAGTTGACTTTCTTGCAGAGGAGAATGGAAAATTACTTGGTCATCAAAATCTAAACCAGAAGATTCAGTATCTTGTGAAACTGAAGAAAGATTACACTAAACTTGCTGAGGTAAGTTGCAGAGTAGAATACAGATGAAGTAATGGCCTGACATAGAAGAGAGCTGAGATTTGAGGAGAAAACTAAAATTCTTGCTCTTCTGTTGGAGAGGAGTAGATGGATATCTGATTTTATGCAGTTGTGTAGGTCGTGGCTGGTCTGTCTCCTCACAAGCCCCAGGCAAGAATCACCCCATGTTATTTCCTCAAGAACATAATGTATAAAACACTTAAACAAGTGTAGATGCCCCTTATTAAGAAATATGAAAGAAGTGGGTATAACTTTCTTAATACGCTCATGTGTTTTATATTTTGCAGGAGACTGAAAGACTACGAATTGAAAATGCTTTTTTGAAACAATTTAAAAAGTGACATGTAGGCGTCATGATCAGCAATATTGACACAAATGAAACTGCAGACGTTTTTATTGAAAGTTTAAGGAATAAGCAAAAGCTAGTCATCAAACTTGACTTTTGCTGTGGTCCCAGAATAATCAAGTATTTTATTTCCTGGATTTTATGCTGGTAATAGCTGGAATAAAATTCTTTGTTAAATTATGTAGGCAGCTTTCAATGGCATATTAACACCTTCCTGTAACTTTTAAAAAACTGATTTTTTATAGGTACTGAAAGATACTTGTTTGAAACTTTAGTACCTTCCCAAGGGAAGTATTTCTTACTGGGAACATGCCTGGATTTTTGTTTCTTTTGTGCTTTCATTCAGGTTCCTACCTCTTCTGAAATACTACATTTTTTACCAGAGCCAAATTTTAAAAAGCAGAGTTTCTTTGTGATTTTTTTTTTTTTTTTTTTTTTTAGCTAAACACAGTGTCTTTTTCCTGGGTTGCTTAACAATAATTTTCATGTTGAAGTTTGTTCAATAAAGCAGGAATGTGAATTTAGTAATAGACTTGTAAATAATACTATAAATATCTTTTGGCTTTGTAGTCTTTTCTTTCTCTTTCAAATTAAAATGGTTTTGAAACTTTTTTTCCCCATTATAAATTTACAGCATAATTCTATACTAGCATTGTAGGAAATCCAAAGTATTTTGCATTTGTTTTCTCACAAACAGAAGTTCAAAACGTTAAGAAACAAGATCTGAAAATAAGCAGAACATTTTAGGAATATAGCGTAAGTTCATTTAATCACACTTAAGATTTATTGCAAATAACTGCAACTTTTATTAGCAGAACAGAAAGTTGATTGATACTGTTTAGATATCTTTTTTACTACCAGTAATCCTATGGTTCTATTTTTGGCTAGTTTGTACAGTGCTACTTTTGCTCACAAACAATGGGGCGAAAGGGAATTAAGAGAAAGATGTGTGTCAAGTGGAGAGCAGGATGCCTAGTGCATTCCTTCAGTATTTGTCTGAGGGGAAGATTTTCCCGCAGCCTTAACTGTGAACTTCAAAGTTTCCTAATCCTGCAGCATTTGTTTCCACTTGAACTTTGAGGTGCAGCATAGAAGTAAAAAACTGATCTTAAACGGAGGAGGTTTTTTCTTTTGTAGACAACTAACGATGCTTACTAGCAATCTACAGGCGTTTGTCTTGGACCACAAAGCTGTTGTCCCCTGCGGGCTTTGTTCTAGCCCTGTTCTAGGTTTACAGCCGTCCCTCAGCACCCTCCTTGCGTGGCCGTGCCCGGCCTGGTTCTGCCCCGCGCTCGAGGGGGGAGGCGGCATCCCTGCTGCGCACTTCCTTACCCCTCAGCCCCTCTGTGTTGTACGTCTACAGTAGGACTTACACTGTTTTCATATTCCATTTTTTATTTTTTTGTTTTTTAATAAAGCCTGTGTATATAATGAGCACTGCCCACGCGCGTTTTCCTTTCCCGTCCTCCCCCTCCTTCAACACCTGCGCCCCCGGCTCGGCCGCCCCTTCCCGCCCTTTTGGCGGGGCGGCGCCGGGCCCCGGCAGGCCGCGGCGGCGGGCCCGGCATGAGGGCGGTAGCGGCGGCGGGCCCGGCATGACGGCGGGCGGCGGGGCGGCGGCGGCGGCGGCCGCGGGGCTGCTGGGCGCGGCGGCGGCCGCCGCGGCGAAGCTGGCGCTGGGGCCGGGCGGGCAGGCGGCCGGAGGCTGGGTAAGGAAGGAAGCGGCGAAGGCAGGCGTTGCTCGGCCCTGAGGGAGGCCTGCTGCTGCGGCCGTGACGGGGGAGGAACTCGCGGGTTTTTCCTCCCTCGCCGGGAAACCGGGGCGGGCTCCCGCAGCCGGGCCGCTCGCCTCTGGAGGGAGCCCGGCCTTGTAGCTGCTGCGGGTCTGACTGGGGGAGCGGCGGTAGCGTAAACAGGCGGCCAGCGGGCTGAGGTAAGCCTGCGGGTATGTGAAAGAGAACGGGACGGGCATGGTACGAGAACGCCAGAAACCAAACCCAATTCCGAAAGCCTGTTTTCAGTGGGTTTTACTTTAAAAGCAGGATGTTGGTACTCTTGAGTATCAGAACGCTTGTTCTCAGCCTGCTGGTTTGCTAATAACCTTGCCTTTCTCCCTCTCGTGTTCTGTTTCTGCCCAGTCACGACCAGAGTGGAGAGGTGGAGCAGTAGCTTGCCCATGTGCTCACCTGGCGAGCTCACCCTTGGGTGTTCCTAGGGGACGATCTTTATTTCAGTTGTGTTTCCTAAACCTCATCGTGCTTAAGGTTACATGGGACTGCTGGCCTTTCACCTCAGACGTACAGCGTCCTTACCCACGGAAGTGAACTCGCACAGGCACAGGTGGAGGCGTACACAAGGTTGTGTGTGGATGGAGCAGTGCAGACATAGACAGCACGGATGTATCAAAAACACAGTGTGGAAGCTCACTTAGGTATAGTGCAGGGGTAATTATTCATACAGCAAATGTATGCTCGGACCTGAAATTCAAAGGAGAACCCCCAAGAGAAACTAGATCTGAAAAAATCCAGCCTTGGGCCAGGAAAACCGAAAATTGACATGTGTGTATTAGAGATGGTTGAAAAAAGCAAAAACTCTGCAGAGCAGAGACAAGATGCCAGAGATTCGAGTAGTTTTGTGTTCGAGGAAGAACTACAGAAATGTAAAAATGAGTATAAGAGAACAGCCATGACTTGTGCAGTATGGAAAGTGGCAGCAAATGTTAAAAGTGTATTGATGCTTCTATGAGGTTGTGACGTAGGGGAGCAGGAAACTCGATGGCAGCACAAACATGGATTTCCTGGCCAGAAGAATGTGTTGTGATGGCCCAGCCTGAGAGCAGCCTGACCAGGAGGGGTCATTTCACTTGTACAAAAGTTTTCCTTTATTTTCCCTTCTCCCCTGACAAACTTTGTCTAAAGTTACTTCTGCCACTTCAGGAGTGATTCTGGATTATCTGAAATGTACACTGAAATTAATCTCTTAGAAAAGCAATCAGAACAGTAATCCTTGACTCACTGGGCTGGCTCAGCTGAGCCTTTGGCAGGGGAAGAATTTATACCTGCCTCCTTCCGTGTGGGGAACACCTGAGGATGTTCCTGTCTCTCTGCCTGTGTGCCACTGTGATGACCACTCCTCTGCCCATGACACAGAGGGACTTGACCTCTCTCTGGAAAACCTTCCTTCTGGGCAAATGCAGAGCACACTGCAGCTGATAGCCCTGGCGCTGCAATAGAAGATCAGAAGAAGAACCCATGTGTTCGGGGTCACTTCTGAAGATAGCAGAGCTGCTGTGATGGTGGGAACCAGCTTTGCTCCACCAGCGATAGACTCACAGACTGATTCAAGTCAGGCAGGACCTCTGGAGGTCTCTAGTCCATCCCCTGCTCTACCACAGGTTGCTCATGACCTTCTCCAGTCAAGTTTTGAATACCTCCAAGGTTGGAGGGCCCATGACCTCTGGTCTAGTTAGTGTTTGATCACCTTTGTTATTTCTTGTATCAGATCAAAATTTCACTTGTTCCAACCTTTACTTGCTGCCTCTTGTCGTATCCCAGCACATCTCGGAGAGGAGCCTGGGCTTCATCCTCTCTACACCCTTGGGCGGATGGTTGAAGACGGTAACAAGATCTCTTTTTCTTAATGCTTTTTTTCCTCCAGCAGCATAACTTCGTAGGCTCTTTCTGATCCAGAAACATATTGAATTTATGGGAAACACAGATAATTGTTTTTCCTTTTCATCTCTTCACCCCCAGATTCGTCTACCCACTAGAGGTGTGTGTGGTTGTACACAACTGCCCTGAGCAAGGTGAAACTGTCTGGTCACACAGAGGGTGAAGCTGGGTGGCAAACCACATCCTACAGTGAGCAGTAACACGGCAGAAGGTTTCTTCCTCAGAGGACTGGTAACAGCTGGGCATGGTTGTCCCTCTTAGTCCTCTCTGCAGGGTTTGCCAGGGCAGTGGTGGGAAAGCAAAATGTTTCAGTAGTGGGAATTGGTTTGGATCATTTACCATTGCCCTTGCAAGGTTGGAGACCTTTGGAAATGTGGGCCAAAATGAGGCCGAAGTACCCGAACTGTCCCTCTGGCATGGGGTTAGCCTCAGAGAGCTTGTGCCAGCCATCGACCAGGGATTTGCTTTGCAGTGTTCTCCTTTTAACTTTGTTGTTGCTACATTACTTGCTTCAGAAATCCCTGTGGCCCCTCCTAGCTTGCAGTTAATCATTTCTTCCTAGTGGGAGCAGAATACAGTCAGTGGCCCCCATTGGTTTGGGCGGCTGGCAGGGGGCCACAGTTCAGCCATTCCCACGGCACAGGTGCCACCTCTCAGCTGTGTTTGGTGGAGGCTTCACACCAACATTTCTGTCAGCTTCGAGGTGAATCCCACCATGGACTGAAAGGTTGTGAAGGCATGACTGCTACAGGCATAGGCAAAGCCTTGCCCTTGTGTGCTCCCTAACTGTGAGACTTGTGATCTGCCTGTGATCTTCTCGCTTGGTGTCTTCAATTTAAGTACGTGGTACCCTTGGGCTAGGGAAGCGGCTGCAGCAGCTAAAACTGTGGCTGTGGGGGGAGCCTGTGAATGGTGAAGGCTTTGCAGGCAAAACTGGCCTTTTTTTCTGACTGAGGCTGTTACATATCTTATTGCATTGTCTAAGGAGGGAGATCTTTCTTGAGAACCCAGTTGCCCTTGAAGTCCCCTGAATCCACACATAGTTTTGTTGCTGCTAGATGCTGGAGCAGGGAGCTCTCAGTGAATCTGCTCTCCAGCGAGCATGCAGAATAAGGCACGAAGCCCCTCAGCTCTCACTTTCCTCCCGGGCACGAAGCCGCCTCAGCACTTGCTGCAGCAGTAAGGTGCATTTGGAGTCAGCTGGGAAGTGGTGAGGACCAGTGGTTTGGGTCTCAGCTCGAATTCCTAACAGATGGATCCTGGACCACACACAGCACCAGCACGTACATCTTTGATGTTTGTCACTGGCAGGGCTGAGTGTGACCCTTTTCCATAGATCCAGCGAGGACTCACGGCAGGATGTGCCACAGTCGTGCTGTTTTCTTCTGCAATTTAAAATATATATGTGTGTGTGTGTGTGTGTGTATGTATATATCTTCATGTAATACCAGCCATAACACAGCTTCAGTAGCCCATGCTGTTGGGTTTTGCTCCAAAGTGCTCACAAATTAGTGAGGGTAAATGAGCAACCGGTGAAAATACACGGGCTTTTCCCTTTTGTCCTACAGCTGCCTGTGCTGCTTCGCATGGGCTGTGTTGGCTTGGTGTTTGCGTGCAACGCGGTGATGTGGACGGTCTTTGCAAAAGCCCTGCGACTCTCCTCCTCCTCGGCTGCTGCCTCTGTGACGATGACAGCCTCCAACTTCATCTCTTCGGTGAGTAGATCCCTTCCCCAGGTGCTGAAGCCTGGAGGACGCCAGCGATGTGGGAATGGTCACTGGATGTAAATGGTTATAGCTCATCTCCCAGCGCAACTGGTGTCACTGGCCATGAAGGGAGAGTTACAGACAGATGTGAAATGACTGTATCGGGCCTCAGCTGCTCTGACAGTTGCTCATGGCAGAGGCTGTAGGACTTTTCTAGGTGGTACAGGAGGAAGGGTGCTGCTGCCCAGCAAAGTGCCTTGTAGCAGCTGTATGGTTTGCTGAACTTATTGTCAGTGAGAGCCAGAGCTGGGAGCTTTGCTTTGGTTTGCTTTTCCTTTGCAACACCTCACCCGTGACAAGCCAAAGCCACCCTAGCTGGGTGTGAAGATGCACCACCTCTGATGACAGCCAAGAGCATTTTTGACCCGCAGGTTTTTTCTGCTTGCTTTTCACTCTCAGCAGTTGTCTGCCTTGTTTCTGTGCTCCAACTTGTAGTCAGTTCATGGTGGTGTCCAAAACTCAAGTCAGTGCGACCCTTTTTTTATCAACTGGAGTTGCCTAGTCGACTGGAGATTTGGCTCCCAAGAGGTTCTGGGAAGGCAGCAAAGCACACACACACCTGCCAGAATCCTGCTTTGGGACAGCAGTATGGCTGTGCTGCCAGGCTGGAAGAGTAGAGTAGATCATTTCTGGCATCACCCGCAGCAGCTGTTTCTGTTAGTGGTCCCAGCAGGAGTTTTTTCAAGCAGGTTTTTTTCCAGGACCAGCTCTCCCAGCAGAAGTCCTTGCAGCTCCGGCAGCAGAGGAGGCTTTGGAGCAGCTTGGCCCAGCAAAGTTTTGTCTCTCTCTTTTCCTTCAGGCCATCCTGGGCAAGCTTCTCTTCGGGGAGACATGGACGCCTCTGTGGTGGGTCGGCCTCGCCACGATGCTGTGCGGCCTCGTGCTGCTGCACACAGCTGCGCCCCGGCTGGCGCGGCTCCCAGCGGAGAAGAGGGAGGCGTGATGGCTGCTGTAGGGGGCCCGGTGCCGTGCCACCCCTCGCCAGCCTGCCTCGTGACAGTGGCCTCAGTTCCCAGCCGACTCCAAATGCACCGGCCCGGCCACGGACCTGCTGATGCCTGCTCAGCTGCTGACCTGCCGACTTGCAAAGTGACGCTGGTCGCATCTTTCCTGGCAGGTCGGCAGTGGTGTGGTGGCAGTGACAGCCTCGGAGGGAGCTGGTCTGCTCTGAGTCAGTATTGTGGAAATCAGGGCCAGAGGTTATCGGCCGCTCCTCCTCTTCACGCCCTGCGGCTGCGGAGCTTTCCAAGTTTGGGGAAGGCTGAAAGTAAACATGGTGGCCGTGGAAGGTGCCTGTGCATCAGTACTTTTCCGTAAGAGGACCCATCGCGAAATAGAAAAGCAATCAGAAGGCAAGCATTGCAACAGGCTGCCCAGAGAGGTGGTTGAGTCACCATCCCTAGAGGTATTTAAAAGACGTGTAGATGTGGCACTTAGGGACATGGATTAGTGACAGACTTGGCAGGGTTAGGTTAACGGTTGGACTCGCTGATCTTAAAGGTCTTTTCCAACTTAAACGATTCTGTGATTCTAAGTAGATGCTGAAGGCAGCTGATATTTCTGCTCTGCTGACTTTCCTCTCTGCCTCTTTAAATGGCCCCGTGCCTGCCACTGCCTGTAAGGCTGTGGAGCATTTCATTAATGACTTCAGCTTCCCCTATCAGTCACATACACCTTTTAATTTGCCATTTGTATCTGACGTCTGTCATTTCCACTCATCCATTCCTGACACATTACTCACAGTAAGGTTGCTGCTCTTTCCTTTAAACTCTTAACCAGGATGGGGTTTTGATCACCATTCCTGCTGGGTGTAGGTCAAACTTATTTTGGGACAATACAGCAGGCTGCATGTGAACAGTCAGCTGCTCTCACTGGGAGTGTCCGTGTTCAACACATCCCCGCTCTGCACTTAAGTTGACAGTTGTTTTAACGTTTGGTAAAATGACATTTCTCAAGCAACATTTTTTTTACACTTCTGGATGATGCTGATTCCCATTTGTGCAATGTAATCAACCAGATCACTGGTACCCACACATCTGCTAAATTTTGGGTCAGCAGTTACTCTGCTTTCAGGTGTCAACACAGTGCATGTGTCAGGAATAGCATTTCTAAGGTATTGACTCCTTTCCCCTGCCCACACATCTTGTTTTACCTGGAAATTTTTTAGTTGCAATCCTGATCAAGAAACAATGATGCCTATAAATGTATGCATCATGCTGGTGATACCACTTGTTTGCCCTAGGCCTGTCAGTTTGTCTCTGCCTTGTAACCACAGAAAGTGAGTGTCATCATTTAGGCCCAGCAGGCAGCTTAGAACCATTGTAGCTGTTTGCTCTCTCCTCCCCCCTCAGTGGGATGGGGAGGAGAATCAGAAAAAAAAAAAAATGTATGGGTTTTGATAAGGACATTTTAATAACTAAAATACCATAAAATATAATAACAATAATCAATAACAACAACAACAATAATAATAATATGAAACAGGATATAAAAAAAGAGCTAAAACCAAGGAAAAAGAAACAAGCGATGCACAACACAGTTGCTCACCACCCACTGACTGATACCCAGACAGTCCCTGGGCAGCGATCGGCTCCTTTCTGCTGACTCCCCCCAGTTTACATACTGCGCGTGACGTTCTGTGGTATGGAATAGCCCTTTGGCTAGTTCAGGTCAGCTGTCCTGGCCATACTCCCTCCCAGCTCCTTGTACACCTTGCTGGCAGATCACAGGGAACTGAATAATCCTTGACTTAGGATAAGCACTACTTGGCAACAACTAAAACATCAACATGTTATCAGCATTATTCCCAGACTAAATCCAAAACGTGCTGTACCAGATACTAAAAGAAAATTAACTGTATCCCAGCCGAAACCAAGACAGTGAGTCATGGTTGTGGCATATGCAGAAAACCTACGGACGCTTTTCTGTGAGCCTCAGTATCAGAACCTGTCAGGTTTATCATGACTGGCAGATCTGCGCCGTGTCCAGCAGGAGGATAAAAATAGACTTGCGGCTGGAAATACCACTGGAGTTGGGTTTGTGCCTTTTCCTTCTTTGTATCAGAAAGACAAAAAGTCAGTGTCCCCAGAAGAAGCCGGGAGCTGTTTTCTCTGTGTCCCCTGCTTCAGGAGCCCATGCTAGCTCATCACATCCAGCAGCCATGTCCCAAGAGAAGCAAAGCCTTCGCCTCTCCCCTCGATGTGTTCATAAGTCCTCACCTCCAAAGAGAGGTGCTGCATATGTGGTGGAAAAGAGGACTGAGTGCTCTGAGTGCCTTTCCACCTTACCAACATGGGTCTTTGCACCTGAGGGGCTCTTTGGGTAGCAGCAGCGATAGGAAGAGAGGGTATGTCCAGCCTCCTGGGAAGCTGGGACTTGATGTGGTGACCCAGCATCCCTCGTAGGTCTGCAGAGATGACAGCCAGGATCTATGCATTTCTAAATACATCAAGTCTCCTTAGACCTCTCTACATGATGGAGAAGTAATGAAGGCTGCAAGCCTGATTTGTTTGCCCTTGTTATTAACTGTCAGCCAGATGTAAGCCGTGGCCACCTTTGCACAAATGGCAGGAGAAGGACCAGACACGGGTCACTGATTAATTTGCCTGTTGCCCTTCCTCCTAACAAACCTTTTTCAAAGTTTTTTAACATGGACTATCTCAAAACTGTCATTTCTTTATTACAGTTGTTGCAGGTCAAGGTCTAGGAGATGTTTGCATATGTGCAGGAAGCATGGGCAGCGTTTTACTTGGTGATGCTCACTTTTCAGGCGGAAGAACATAAACTAGGGCTGTAAATTCACTGTCATAAATACTTGAAGGTCAGATCAGAAACAAGTTTTCCTCCAGTTCCTGTGGGATGAAAAGACTGCCAAGCAGGGTGTGTTTTTTTGGCAGAATCCCTCTCCTCTATCTACACAGAGTTTCACCCCCATCCGCCGGCGTTGCTCGTCAGCACGGGGCCGCGGCTGCCAGGAAGCCTGCAGTCACCGTACAGCAGAGCGGTGCGCTTCTGGTAAATGGCTCATGTGTGGTCATCCAAATTGTGGCTGGAGGTGATCTCAAACAGGGGTGCCGGTATTTCCAAACTAAAACACTGTCCAAAGCTGGATGGCTGATACTTGCAGATATTTTGGGCCACACACACACACACAGAAAGTGATGTGGGACTAATGGGTGAGCTGTGTTTGAAGAGTGGGCAGCTCAATGCAGCAGACCTTGCAAGGTGGCTGAAGGTGATGGCCAACTCTAAGACCTTGGTTTACCAGGGCAGAAGGTGGGTTATCCTTATGTGGGAGCTACAGTAGTGTGCTTGCATGGAGTTTTTGCACACTTGAGACGAAATATTTTTAGAAGAGTCTTGAGCACACGTTTCTTCTCCTGTTCCAGAAAAGTACACTCTTATTTGCACATCTTCCTAGCACTGGCTGTAATGAGTCTTTCATGCGTCTTCCCCTCATTCTCAAACACAGCCCTAATTTTTCAGTATCTTATTCAGATTTTCCTCAAGAAGAGCTATACCATGTCACGCTTTAAACAGCAGAAGCAGCAGGTGCATGGTTAACAGAAAGGCTCACAGTGTCACTCTTGAAAATTGAAGTAAGTATGCTTGAATTAATGGTGGGAAGCGTTTGAAAAACCTGTTGTATAAACAAGGTCCAAGAGTATTATGTTCTAAGGTAAATAATACCTTGTATACCTTTACAAGGAACGAAGCCAAATGAAATTACATTTGCAGTTGAACCTTAAAATGTAGTTGGACTGATTAGATAAGGAACTATACATAAAACCTGAGAAATGTCCCTGTTGTCATTGACAAGGAGCCACTGAAACTTGGAAGGTTTGTACAACATCTCAGTCACAGCATATATCAAAATAACTTGAAGGACATGTTTGCCTGGGTGATAAGTAGTAGAAGTAGGCATCATAAATAAGATCAGTAGATTGTTCTGCTGAGTTTGGTCTATTTAAAATTTCTGAGGAATTTGATTCAGTGCCCTGTGTTGACTCTTCAGAGACCTTAAATATTGATCACATTGCAAGGATGTCACACACATACTTAATTCCACTAGAATACTGCAAGCAATGGGGTGGCTCCAAAGAGGGAAGTCATGGTGGCTGAACACAGCAGAAGACTGGTGCCATGGCTCTGACCTTGGCTGTCACAGAAAAACTATGAAGTTACGAATATATGGATACTCATCCTGATGTGTTCATGGGACCAGGTGCTCTGCTTACCTTTTGCAGAAGAGCCGCAGCAGGCCTTCGTTTTGGGGGTCTGAGAGCTGCAGAGGGGCATTGTACAGGGTGGGCACTCACCCACAACAAATGTCGTGGTGCTTGCAGCTCACTTGGTCTCAGAGAAAAATCTGGGGTGAGGTCAAGTCAGTGGTAAAAGCCTTCCCAGAAGAGTCAGGAGTTTGCCTCTAAAAATTGTCCGGGGTGTTGTGCCATGTCACTTTTAAAAGGAAGGGATTGCAAGAAGACATTTCTGAAAATGTGGTCCTGAAGAAGACACAAAGTATTTTAGACTATAAAGCAACACCCTCTATTTTCAGGCAAAAGATGGTTGTTGGGCTAGGTGTTTCAGTGCCCTTTCTAAGGCAAGTCTGTGTCTAGATACTTAACACCAAAAAAAAGGTCAGCAACTTGCCTGTAAAATATGAAATGGGGTCCTGGGCCATGGGCAGGGGGGAAGGGAAGGCCCCGGGGGTCGGGCAGGGCAGGCAGTTCTGGTGGTGCCCTCAGGGCCCTCACAAAGTCAATGGCTGTACCTGGGGTGTTTCCAGTGCCAGACCCTCAGGTTCAAGATGGGCATTGGGAAACTGGTCTGGCACAAAGATACTATGGTGACAGGGGCCTACAAGGAGAGGCTAAGGGATGTGGGCTTGTTGGAAAGGAGTTACAGAGGTAGCGGAGTCAAGCTCCACTCCATAAAAATGACCAGAACAAGAAGAGGCAACAGGCACAGGTTTTGTCTTGGAACTTTCAAGCTGGCCATCAGGGAAAAAAAAGTCACCAGGAGGTTAGCTGCCCAGTGAGACATCAGAGTCTCCACCCATGAAGGTTTTCGAGGCTCAGCTAGACAAAACATCAACTGACCCGATCTAGTGTCGATGACAATCCCATCTGAGCAGGAGGCTGGACTTCCTGTGACCTATGGATGGATTTCACTGGCAACACCATCTATAACTGAAACTGGGTTTCCCTTTTACCTCCCAGTTTGGCAGTTCCCATTACACGTTGCTGTGCCACAGAAAGGAGGTTCCTCCCCGTGGCACCATACAGACCTAGGCCATCAGGGGCTGCTTGGCTAACGGCAGAAACCATAACAGGCACGGCTGTACTAATTGCCAAGACTTCCTAAGCAGTTCCTGGGGCTGCTGCACGCCCTTGAAGTGCCAAGGGATTGCTGGTGCTGGGTTAATGCCTGGGGAGCTCCTGGGTTGGGCCTCCCACTCCCGTTTTGCTAAGGGGGAGACGATGGACACACTGCTCTACCCTGCACGGGTCTTACACGGGGGCTCCACTGCACCCCGCGGGGATGAAGCCGCAGCAATGGAAATAAGTGGAAGGGTTGGAAGGAGTGGTAGTAGGTGGGGCGTGGCGGATGGTACCACCACTTTTTGGAAGAGGCATGTACGTTTTGAACGCGTTGCTCAATCTCGCTTGGCTCAGAGGTCACCA